AAGCTGATTACCATTCACTATTTTCCCCTAAAAGAACATGAAATCATCCTACTCCATTATTTTCTTCATACACCATATATAGTTTATAGATAAACATGGACTCCTGATCGACTCTCACTTCAAGCCCAATATACATGTCTCTATCTGACCTTGGAAATCTAAAAGGGCCCTACTATCTATGCCTTCTCTTCTTTGTTTACTAGCTAAATATACAACACATGACTCTCTATGGGAATATAGACAGGCTGAACTTGGGTTTGTAGTTGCTCAAAAACTCATGGGAAGCGATGTAAGGCAAGCTGTCACACTGCCCCAGGCCTTCTGTGTTCTGTCTCTGCCTTTGCTTTGTGCTCCAACAGACACATTATTTCAAAGAGAACAGCCTTATTCCTGTTACCTGCTTGTGGATTGGTCTGCGGTGATGGTTTCTCAGCTGCAATGGCAGGCTGTACTTTTGTTAGAAAGGATTCATATATAGGCAGAAAATTGGACCAGATAACCTATAAGTAAGTTCTTCTCACTGAGAGGTTCTGTAGGGCACACTATGGAGGCAGCCTCCTCTCCATACCATCTCCTAGTCAGTTTACTCACCAGGGAATGATGAAGCTATAATCAGATCCTGGTCTCCATCACTACTGTCACACCAGGTTAGAGTAATCCCTTCTTCCACTGAACTCCTCTAGCACTTATTGACTGTAACATATCAATAACTAGCATAGGCTTCTTGGCGGCGTTACTTATCTTCGTGTGAACTGTCTACTCCACAACTACACTTGAATAAACTAGTAGACATCCCAAACTTAACTTTTTAAAAAATCAAATCCCTGATTGTTTTTTTTTTTTTTTTTATTCTAGAGAGAGAAAAACATTGATGTGTGAGAGAACATTGATTGGTTTCCTTCTGTACCTCCCCTGGGGATCAAATCCACAACCTAGGCATGGGCTCTGACCAGGAATTGAACCTGCAACCTTTTGGTACATGGAACGACACTCAACCACCTGAGCCACACCAGCCAGAGCAAATTCCTGATTCTTATTCTCTTTCTCTAACCTGCTCCTCCTGCAGTCTTAACCACTTCAATAAATGATAACGTTATTCTTTCAATTGCTAGATCAAAAACCTTGAAGTCATTCGTGACCACTCTTTCTTTCAGACCCTTAATCCAATTCATCAAGTAAACTTACCAGTTCTGCCTTCAAAATATATCCAGAACCTGACATTTTCTTGTCCCCTTCACTACTATCATATTGCTGTGAACCACCTCCATCTTTCACCAAACCAATCTCTGGCTTCTACTCTTGCCCCTCCTCAGACTAATCCACACAGTAGTCTGAGTAATATTTTTATAAAATAAGTCATGTCATGTCATCCCTCTGCACAAAGTCTTATACTGGTTTCCCATATTGGATTAAAAGCCAGCTCTATAAACTCCCTGTAGAGAGAAATTTTGCTATTTTCTTCTCTGTGGTCCTAACACCTAGCAAGTGCCCTGACCACAGCAAGTGTTCAAATAATGTTTGCTATGATTAGGATGCAATCGCAGCTTTGAAAACCGTCAGTTTGCACCAGATCCTGGTGTTATACTGGTATTTCATACTCCTCTTCCAAGGCACCAAAGTTCTTTGGTCCAAGACCTATAGCATTATGGATGTCTTGTGACATTATAAATGACTAAACCATAGAGTACCACCCATGGCTGCTCTAACTGACAGAGATTCTGATCAGACACTCAGAATACAGGGCCAGTCATTTCACGGTCAGTTGGCTTTGCTGTGCTCCACCATCCTTTGCCTGGCCTTCATTCCTAATTCTAGTGAGTTTTGCTAAAGCATTTGGCTATAAGCAGAATCCATCATAGATAGGAACGCAAAACTCTCTATTACTGGACAACTAAGGATTTGGCTTAATGGCCAATAATACTATCATATTGAAAAGACGGCACATTATCCTATGACAGGACTGTTTTTAAAAATTAAAGAGTCCTATCTCAATGAGATAACTTATGAACCTGGTATCTAAAACAAAAGAAACTCCAAGAGTAGGTTTTTTTTTTCCTCCAGCTTTATCAACTTTTTAAAAAATAATAAAGCAAATAAAATATTACTCATAGCTCTGATTTTGGCTCTTAACCAAATAAGAAACAAACCCAGCACAAAATGAAAGGATAAACAAAATAAGAGAGCCAGACATAAGGAATAAGTTAATTATGCAATTAATTTGCATAGCAGATTTGTAGCAGCCAACTATACACACAAATAGGAATAGGGCAAAGGTACTTCCCTGGGGCTAAGAGAACAAGACCACATTTGATTGCCAATGGGTGCTCTTTGCCAATACAAAAAAGTTGGCAGGCTAGTATCAAATAGCAAAAGAGACAGGTTGGTAAAAGGTAGATAATTCAGAAAACCTAGCAATATCATTCTAATATAGGTCACTAACAGAAAAACTGAAACAAAAACACCACGATCTTCTCACTGGCACATACCCCGGGGTCAATTAAAAATAATTTGGATGTACCCCGGTGACATCCTCCTCTATTGAGTTTGTACTGTATATCTATTCAATAAATTTTGGCATCCTTAAAATTTCACTTCAGTGTGAGAAAACTGAGTCTACACTGGTCTATACTACCAGATATATTCATACAGTGAATGATGGAGTATTTCTAAGGTTATTCTAAGATTGGATTGAGGCAACAAAATCAGTTCCAGGAGAGCTTAAGCATGCCACCTCACCCCAGTACTCACAGCTCTCCCAACCAGCCCAGAGGCTTTTCCAGCCTACTGCCTTATGTTCTATGCTATCAGCTTCTGTGTGCTTCAACTGAGACAGACTAGAGTCAGAAAAGCAGACGGAATTCTTCCTACACAGGATGAAGTAGTATAAGGAATGCTAGGCAGAAGGATAGAGAAGTAGTTTCTCAGGGATAGGGAACTCCTTGGACAGTTTAGGACAACCAAATGTCAATCATATCTTAAATCCAGGATGAAGGGAAGAAAAATAGTCCATATTTTACTTCTTATTCTAATACTTCTTTCTTTTTAGTTCCTGTGGCTTCCAAGAGCTAGAATTATTTTGGCCTGAAGGTAAGAAGACTTGGACCTGCTTTGTTAAATAAATCTAGACTGCTTTAAAGTGAAAGAAGGGAAGAAAGAGAGTTATCTTTTTTCCTAGAGATACATTTCAGGGTATCCACTCTGAGTGAGCATGAATCAGATTGACAATCCCGTGACTTGTGCAGGAAAATACCTTTGAATAAACAGAACAAGATAACTGGGTAGACCTCTCTGCACGTAAATAAGTAAAAATGACTATTACAATGGGGGAGTTCAAATCTGATACTGATATCTGTGTCATTAGGGTTGTTTAAAAAATAGATTCAGAAGCTCTGCCCTCAACAGTCATTCTTGAGCTGGAAATGTCAATGTCAGTGAACCAGGCTGACAGGCACCTCCCCAACCATCAAAGTAAACATTCCAAATGCTCAAAAAATATTGAAAAAATTATAGAGTACCGTTTCATTTAAAAGACATTTAATTAATACTTCATAAATTATTGCTCAGATGAATAAAATGGTCATGAAATTTAAGAAAACAAGTAAACTACAAGAAAACTCCAGACAAAATTACAAAGCTAAACATAAATTTGGCCCAGCATCACTACAGTGACTGAAGGACGAGAATTAAATACCATTCTTTAAACTAGTAACCCTTAGCCATCCAACCCCCTCCTATAGCTAGAAGGCAGCATGGTCTCTGAACCAGACCTCCAGTCCTGGGGGTTCTCCTTAATGCGAAGAACAAGCCTGCTAGAAAAAGCCTGCGCCAGCCCGAGCCCGAGCCCAAGCCCGAGCGCAGCCCCAGCCCCAGCCCCAGCCCCAGCCCCAGCCCCAGCCCAGCCCAGCCCGAGCCCGAGCCCGAGCCCAGCCCCTGCCCCAGCCCGAGCCCAGCTCCAGCTCCAGCCCCAGCCCCTGCCCCAGCCCAGCCCCTGCCCCAGCCCCAGCCCCAGCCCCTGCCCCTGCCCCAGCCCAGCCCCTGCCCCAGCCCCAGCCCCAGCCCCAGCCCCAGCCCAGCCCAGCCCGAGCCCGAGCCCGAGCCCAGCCCCTGCCCCAGCCCGAGCCCAGCTCCAGCTCCAGCCCCAGCCCCTGCCCCAGCCCAGCCCCTGCCCCAGCCCCAGCCCCAGCCCCAGCCCCTGCCCCTGCCCCTGCCCCAGCCCAGCCCCAGCCCCAGCCCCAGCCCCAGCCCCAGACCCTGCCCCAGCCCAGCCCCTGCCCCAGCCCCAGCCCCAGCCCCAGCCCCACACATTAGCTGATCAGTGAGATGGAGCAGCCTGGTTTCCGTCTTTCTGCTCTTTGTGGGGTAGAGGTGGAGTCAGGGCAAAGATGATTATGATGAAGAGATATTTGGGGTTCGGGAAACCTTCACGTTCGACCCTTTTTTCTGTCCCCCTTCAGGATGCAAGGTCAAAGGTAGGTAAGATCAAAATCAAACGGAGAAGATTTTGTGTAGGGGTAAGATGGATTCAACAAAGTCATCTGCTCGGGGACTGCCAAGAAATCCCCGTTCCCACTTCAGCCTCTCCTCACACCCACTAGGAGTCACCTCCGTCGGGGTCAGAGGACCGGCCAAGCAGCCCGGGAGGCTGTCCGGGCTGCGAGGCTCAAGCCGCAGGCGATCGGAATCCGAACTGCGAATAAAGCGGCGGCCAGGCGACCCGGGGGCAGGAAGGCAGGGCAGGGTCTTTTCTGCGGGGAGACAGACGCGGAGGGAGGAGGCCGAGCCGGGGGCGGGGGCGAGCTAGAACAGCCAGGACGGAGTCCTGAGACACCGACGCCGAAGCTGGGGACGGGTGGAGAGCAACAGCGAGGCCGGGGCGGCGGCGGGCCGGGGCGGTGACTCAGTGAAAGAGGCGATGGCGGCCCCGGGGCACCGGGCAGCGCGAAGGCGACGGGCCCCGCGCGCGCGGGGGATCCGAGGCGGGCGCGGGCGCGGGCGCTCACCGTGTCCTTGGACGAGCCCAGCTTCTTGAGGCCGTCCAGGGGCAGGAGGTCGGCGGAGTCCTTGTGGATGAACTGCACCGCCTGCTTCACCCGGCGCTGCTGGCGCAGCGACGCCGCCTCCCGCATGTCCGTCTCCTTGCGGCCGCCCTCGGTGAGGAGTCCTGAGTAAAACATCGCTGAGGCTCCCGCGGCCCGGCCACCCGGGTCCTCGAGCTCCTCCGGCGCCGGGGAACCGCGCGCCGCGCTCTTTATAGCCGAGCATGACGTCACGGCGGGCAGCCACTGCGCGCGCGGGGGGCGGGGCCGGCACAGCGCCCCCGGCCGCCGCGCGGCTCCCAGCGTCGAGTCCGCCGAGCGCCTCCGCGTCACCCCAACTCGGGGAACAGCGGGCGAGGAGGAGTGGCACTGGGGGCACTGACCCGGAGCGCCCAGGGCCCACGGCGGCCGCTTACCCCACTGCCCCGCTCCCGTTGTGGATGCCCGCGTCCCCTGCACCGGGATGGGGTGTGGGCATAATGCCAGAGCAGCCTCTCGGACCCCAGCCGCTGCCGCCCCCGGGCTCCCGCTCACCAGTCCACGCAGTGGCCGACCCCGGGATCACGGACAGCCGGGCCATGCCTCGAGTCCCGCAGCCCCGCCGTCCCGCCGGCTGCTCGGCTTCGCAAATTGCCGCCTCCGCGCCTCCTCCTGAAGCCCCCGCGCCCACGGCCCGGGCTCGGGAGTAGCGCGGCGCGCTCAGAAGCCGGGATCACTCGGGATTTCTCTAACTTCGGGCCCGTCCCACCCACCAGGCCACGTGACTGGGGAGGGGGCAGCCCCTGCGGGCCCGCTGCAGGTGGCCTTCCCGGGCCTCTCCCTCCTCCTGGCACCCGGTGCCCGGGAAGCAGGGCGGGGCGGAAGCCTGCGGGCAGCCCGGCGCTGAGGGGTGGCGAGGGTCCCGGCCTCCGCGCGCGACTGCACCGGTATCTGCTCGGTGGGACACCTGACAGAAAGCACGTTTTCTCAGCCAACGCTAGAGCTTCATCTCTCCAGCATGTTGCCAGGAACAATGGGAGCCCCCCTCCCCTTTTTTTTTCGTGAATCATACTCTCAAGCCATTTTAATGGGCCTTCGGGCATCCTGAGTTCTGGCCTCAACGTTGTGACTTCGTGCAAACTACATTTTCACCCTAGGAACAATCACGACCCTGTCCCAGCCCTTCTCTCTGTAGAAACTAACAATACAAGTAACAATAACGACGTTTACTGAGTCTCTTACCCTGTGCCAGGTATTGGAATAAATATTTAAAATGTAGTAGTTCATTGCCCTTGCCGTTTTGGCTCAGTGGCTGGAGCGTCGTCCCCCACCAATGACTCACGGGTTTGATTCTGGTCAAGGGCACCTACCTCGGTTGGTTGCGGTTTGTCTCTGGCCCTGCTCGGGGTCCTGCGAGAGGCAACCAGTGGATGTGTTTCTCTCTCTCTCTCTGTCCCCCTCTCTCCCACTCTATCTGAGGATAAATTTAAAAATATCCTCCGGTGAGGATTTAAAAAAAAAAAAAAAAGTCGTTCATTGAATACTGGCAACAGCTTATTAGGTAGTATTATCATTATCCACATTTTACAGGCAAATACCTGAGACCTTTTAACTGGTCTCCTGAATTTCGTGCCTTGGTTCCCTTCCCATTCCTTGTTTTCTACTGCCAGGGTAATCTTTTCAAACTACAACTGTGATCATCTCACCTCCTTGCTTAGAACATCTCAAAAGGCTTCCTATTGCTCTTAAGATAAAGCCATTCTTGCATGGTCTGCTCCCAGGGGCTTCTCCACTCTACTTCAGCCTCACCAGCCTTCTTCAGTTCCTTTGAGAAGCCCTTCTCTCTTTGGCCAAATAGTCTACCTTTGAATATCCTGTTCCCTCTGCATGGAATGCCCACCTACTCCGTTCAGTCAAAAGACAGCCGTCAGCTTCATTTTGTTTCTCCCAAACCTCCAATTACCATTTCTTTAGGAAAGTCTTCTCTAACCTTCCAGAGAGGGTGAATTCTCCCTAATCAGACACTGTACATCTCTCTGGGCATTTCACGTTTTTTGATGATGGTGGTGGAAGGAGACTGTTACTGGTTGCTTGATTAATATTTATATCCCTCCCTAACTGTAAGCTCCAAGAAAGCAAATGAGTCTTTTTTTTTCTTTCTTATCACTAAATCCAAAGCATCTAGGAGGCTCTCAATAAATACTGAGTGTAAGTATGGCAAGAAGTTAAGGTCTCGCCCAAGGAAAGCAAGTGGTAGAGCTGGGCTTTTAAACCCAGGACTTACCGTCTGCTCCCCCAGAACCTGTGCTGGATCTCCCAGACCCACAAGGGCTGGGTTTGACTTCATGAACCTGCTTTTCCCCTCCGTTACTGCCTTCAACACTTGCCCTAGATTCAGAGCTCACTGACTGCTTGTGGGAAAATAAATCCAGAGGGCTGCTCACTTGGCTTTAAGGATCCCCCCTCCCCCCAGTACTGTGGAGAGCAGTATTTCCTGGAGGGGAAGGTGAGGAGGGGGTGGGATTGCAGCTCACCTTCCAGTCCCCTGGCATGCTTCCAGCAGTGAACAACAGTGACTGTCCTGGCCCCTTCTGTCCTGTCACCTGGATCCCTGCCTGGTCACTCCTCCGGGTGAGAGTCACCCAGGAAGCAGTGAAAGACAGCCTTGCCTTGTCTCTCTAGGACAAGTGCCTCTGAGCTCGGCAAAGCATCAGGACAGGCCCAACAGAGAGGGCCCCTGGGGCTCGGGCTGGGACAGGTACTCTCCTCTGGGAGGTAGCCAGGGAGGCAGATTCCAACTCCCTACTCCGCAGGTAGCTCAGCCCACTCTTGCAGCCTTTTTTTTTGGCTGAGGATGGCCCAATGGAAGAAAGGGTCAGCTTTCATAGCAAGAGCCCCCCTGGGAACACCAGGAAGCTGAATCTCTCTAGTTGAACTGGAATTTGTCCATATCAAGTGTTGCTGAAAAATAAATGGCCTTGGCTGGAGCTGGGAATCTGTGAATGCAAGCTCTTGGCCGTCTTGGGATTTGTGTCCAACAACTGGATCTGTGGCCACAACACCGGTTGTTCCCCTCATCTGTCAGAGATCTTCCTTAGCCAGACTGATACCATCACTGCCCTTAAGTATGGGTCAGTGTGGTGAGCTCCCCCACCCTCCCGCCCCGCACCACACACACAGTTTCTGCAGACTACAGACTGGCTGCTCCGTTTGAGGAACATCACCTCTAGGCGGTTTATCCAGTTTGCCCAAGTGACTTTGAGCAAATCTCTTCCTAACTCTAAGCCTGAGTTTCCATATCTATAAAAGGGGTACAGTGAGATTACATATAAACATGGGCTTTGAAAACTCTAGAAAAGATTATATTAATTCTCCATATAGCCAAGCTCCCCGACCCACATTGACCCATCTTGGAAGAAGTGTAATACTGTTATTAAAACCACAGGTTTTTTTTAGTCCAATACATTAGGTTGCAATCTCTGTTCTGCCACTCACTAGCTATATGATTAGTAAGTCACTTTATCACTGTGGGTTTCAATTCCTCATCTAAAAAATGCCAGTAACATATGTACCTCTCAGGACTGCTGTGAGTGTTAAATGAAACATAGCACATCACGGCTCAGAGGAAGGGCTCCACAGAAGGCAGCTTCCACTGTTACTTGGAACACTTCAGGAAAAGTTGTAGGTTGCCAAGCCTCAGAATGGGCCTGGTCTATGCCTCCTCCAAGCCTCCCTACAGAGCTGCAGCCAATGTAAGTCAAATCTGAGTATTTTTTACCACCCCCAAGCCTGCCCCTTGGAGCCAAGGCCTCCTCATACAGGGGCAGGCCAACTCTGTCCACACCTTGTGCCTCTAGATTGAGTTTGCCATATCCAGTGGCTTTGTTCTCAAGTTCTCTACTCACTTCCTTGGCTGTTGTAGAGGATCTGTTCTTAAAAATTGTACTAGACAAGTTGATGCTGTTTTAGTTAGGATTTTATTTGTGTTGTTTTTACTGGAAGTGACAGAATCCCCATTGAAATTTTTTTAAGCCAAAATGCAAAGATTTTGGTCCCTTAATTAAAAACTGCAGGGGTTTCAGGCATGGCTGAATCGAAGAGATCCAATGACACGATCTGTTTCTGCTCTGAGCTGATGCCACGGCAGGCCGGCTCTTCCTGTCTCATGGCTGTCTGCAGCTCCAAGGTTGCAGTCTGTTCTCTCAGCAACCCTCTTTGGGTCTTCAGCTAGCAGGGAGGCCTTTGAGAATGGGACACAGGATGCGTGCCAGAGCTGGGAAGCCGGGAAAATACATAAGAGCTGAGGAGAACGGGGAGATGGCCAACGAGTTTTTATTCTCCTTCACTTCCCACTCAATGCATATTTTGCTCTGACTTTGCCCTTGGGCACACCTGGAGGTAAGGGCCACCTCCTGCATCCCAGTTTGTTCATCACCCCCATCCCCATAGCTGCAGAGTCCCCTTCCTCCTCTCGTGCCCTCCCCACCACCCCAACTCCCTCTGGCAGGAAGATTCTTCAAACAGCTGTCTGCTGCAGGCGCCATATGTGTGCCAGGATATCTGGCTGCGCGGGTGCCCACAACTTGGCATGCAGCCCTGAAAACTGTGTTGAATTTGGTAGGTTAAAGAAAAGATGAGATATTTCTGTCTCCTTCCTTCAGAGTGATTCCCAACATCACCACAGCCTCGTAACACGGAGTTGAGGGCAGCCCCACTGGTGTTTTCCAACGTTGCCTGGGTCTTTTGGATCCATGCCTGTCAGCAATGATTTTGTTTCACTTCCTGGGATGAGGAGAGGCTGTGACCTCAAATCAGACAGCAGAGAGGAGAGAAAGGAGAAGAAAAAAAAAAAAATCTCAGTATCTGAAGCAAAAGTGTCCAGTGGAAAGAGGGGAGGCTAGGCTGGGCTTGGAATCCTGGCTCCGCCCCTTGTTTGTTGTAGTAGTTTGGCCAAGTTACTGCAGCTCTCTGAGCCTTGCTTGGCCTATCTGGCAAGACGCTGTGTGGTTTAAACAGCATAACACTAAAGCGCAGGGACTGGCACAAAGTGAGCCTTCGATAAATAGGAGTCATCTTTCTCTTTTCTTCCCTTCTCCAAAACAGGTGGGGAACCTGGAAAAGACTGTCCCCACAGAGGCCAGCAGAGAGCTCTTCACCTGGAAACAGACCTCCGAAGATGGAAAGCCTCTCGGAATGCTTTGC